CATAGTTGAGGTATACCTATGATGAAAATTACAGGCCTCTTTCATCTTTTTAAGTGGGAGAGCTTGCACAATTGGTGGCTGACTAAATACTTCTTTGCCCCACTGTATGAGGCTGGGTTTTTGACTTAAAGCAAACTAAATTTATAAAGAGAAATAAATTGCTCACACAAATCATTTTTAAAAGCAGTTTGACTACTTGCATCTCATTTGTTTTATTCTTTATTAAGCTACTAATTAAGTAATAATAATTTTTTCCTTACCTAAATTATGTTGTTATGGGGGGGGTCCCTTTTTATGGCATAAGATCTCTTGGTATCATTTTTTATTGCAAGAAAACTTAAGTGAACAAACTATTGATGATCATGGGAGTGATTTCTAAGTATGGCATTTTTCATGAAAGGATGCATTTCTTGAAAGAAAGGATGCCACTAAAATCTCTAAATGGTGAAGAATAAGCAGTCACAATGAGCATACACATTGCATAATAATTGCACAGAAAAGTAGTGAACAGTGTTCACTAGATGACTGATCTGTTTGGATGACAACTAGAATCTCTCTTGGTGCATTGTGCGCATATCTGCTCAAAAGTAGTATTGAGTTCAGTCAAACCTCAGGAATTTTAATGTGATTTCCCTGGAAATCTGATGCTTCTCCATTTTCTTGTTGTGTGCTAAGTGTGCTTCAGTGTAGGCTGTAGTAACTTCAGCTCTGTATTTCCAGAGTGGTCCAGGCATACGGAATGTGTGATGGTCTCCTTGTTCTCCATTGCAAATCTCTATGGGCAAACCATGGCCCATACTGTTATAACAGAAGGCCTCTGGCATTTGAACATTTAATTCATAATAATACAAAATTTTCTCAAAACTTTAACAACAAATGTATTTATGAAATCTAAATAAAACCTCTATTAAATTACAGACTAACTACAGGCTGTTTCATCAGATAAATGGAGTCCCCTAATGACAGCGGAAAACATACATACATACATGTATATGCTGGTTAGATGGAACAGAATGAATAGTGAGATCAGATGGGAATTAAACTGAAATGGTACAGATAGAGATAATTATCTTCTGGGCAATGATTATTTGCAAAACAGTTGTTAAACATCACACAGACATTCTTACATTTGCAAGTAGTAATAAAAGTGCTTAGTATTTATATATATTCTGAATTCTGTCCCAGGTTCCTGAGGAGACAGTCCACATTACTATTTTTAACCCACATATGGATATACCAAGAGTGGAGAAATGAATCAGGTTAAAAGGTCTGATGATGTCTGGGGGTGTTATAGGCCAATACTCTCTTGCAGAAGCCCTTCCTTTATCCTAATGGTAATGGAGTAATTCCATTGTTCTGCACTGGGATGAGAAATGAGTGTCCTGGTCCTCCTGCATGGAGCATTTGGAGCAAAGAGAAGGGGGCTTCTGCTTGGGAGCTTCTGCCTCTGAGGCTCAGATGGGGATACTGCATAGGCCACCTCTGATCTGCCGGACAGTTTTCCACCTCTGTGTTACACCTCTATCCAAAGCCCAGTCCAGATTTCATTTGCAGCTGCTTCTGTGAACTTGTAAAAAAAAAGAATGATGCAGACTAGGTGAGAGCATAGTGATGCTTAAATGGAAAACAGTTCATAATGTAATCTAGCGCACGTTGTTCCTTAGATGGCTAGTGCAGCTGGATCTGCAGTTTTATTTATTGGCATGGATGCCCACAGAGTGTTTATTTTTTTCCTGACTGTGTGATAGGGATCAACCTGAGTCTTCAGATTCAGGCCGGTCTAAGCCTCAGCCTGCATCACAGGAATCAGCTAAAGAGGAGACGCAGCTGCAGTGTGGGTGAGCTGACCCAGACCCTGAGCTAGGCAAGGTCCCAGGCCCAGCAACACATTGCAAATTAAGTAGAGAAGAGCAAAGGAAGTCAAGCTGTCTAAAAGAAAGAAATGTGACTCAACCAACTGTTCAAGCTGATGGCTTTTGAGATGGACTCTTCCTGGCAAACAACATTCTAGTTTCCTACCTGTGACTCTTATTGTTAGATTACCTGGAACCTTGAACTGGAAACAGACTGTTTTTGGATCTTTGTGAACACAAGATTTGCCTCTCCAGGCTCCTGCAAAAATACATTATTGTGCCTGTTTTCTACACAGAAAGCTTTGAGTTTGCAGCATGCTTTGTACTACTTTGAGGAAAGATTTACTACAACAATAAATATTTTGAGTTCATTATCAGAAACTGGCTATGTGTGTGTAACTGGCAGCACAGAACAGGTTGTTTGCTACCCCATACATCCTTTAACTACAGTGATGGAAATGGAGCTATTACAGTTTGAATTCAACAAATAAAAGCACATGCAGGCTATATAGAATTTACCAGTGCCTCCAGCTCTACAGCACTATGTTGCTAATGTCCTGCCTCAGTGCCTGGAAAACCTGATGAGGCTCTTGGTCAGGGCCCTGCCTTTGTAGTGCAGTGCATTTTGTACATGTAACCGTGCAACCTGTGCATGAAGCTTCACACTGAAGACTTTCCCTTGCCTTAGGTAAGAATGGGTTGAGTGTGGAATATAACTTGTGCAGACAACGCCAGGGGAAAATGAAAGCATTCAGGAAGGCCCCCAGGCTGTTGTTTTGAACACACACATTTGGAAGAATGCACCTGTTTGACTGAAATTACTCGCCATTATTTGTCTTAGGAAGAGAATGTACGATATAGATTCAAAATAATATATGAGAGGATAAGTATGTGGAGAGATGAGTATTCAACCCTTGCAGTATCTACCTCTGTGTAGGATTAGTATGGGGGATGTGTGTCAAAATCTGCCTTTGTTGTGAATTGTCTGGAGTTTGGGGAAGAAGGAATAGAAGAGGGCATGGGGAGAAGCTGGCAGTAACAAGATGCAACACTTTCAGAGGGAGAACTCGGTTTAGAGTCACAGTCTCTTCTCTGTTTGGGCAGAAGCAGCTGTTTTCTTTTGAAGTGACTAGGGAATTGCTTATATTCCTGTTCTGGATTACTAGCCAGTAATCTAGAATTATTATCTAGGCTAGGTTTTTTCCATGCAAAAGAATCGAAAGGCATAGTTTTGCTTTGTTCTGGGTTTAGGGATAGGGTGATGGTTTGTCAAACCTTTGAATTTCAGCATGTAATGGTGTTTTTATGGGGGGGGGGCTCATTGCTTGCAGCTCCTGTCTAACCCAAATGATAAAGAAGAAGGAGAAGCCCACTCTCAGTTGATGAAGTCAAATGAGGCTCGGCGCCTGCGTTCCCAAGCACAATCTGCCTTTCTCAAGAAAGATTACTACACTGCTATCAATCTCTTGGATAAAATTCTAGATGTAAGTCCTAGAATTTTGGAAACTGATGCCAAGATGTAAACATGGTTACTACTCTTGAATTCTACTTTAAATCTTGAATTAAAAGTTCTAGACCAGTCTACTTTGGAGTCACAAGATCCAGTTAGATATACTTCTTTCACTAGATGCTTGCAAATTAGAAGATTTTCATCAATAGGAAAGGTTTCAGTTTTACTACCCAGCTGAATGGCAGCACCTAGCTCACCTTGCCTGATTTTAAAAGCTAAGTATGATAGGACCTGATTCGTACCTGATTAGATGGGAGTCTCCTAGGATATCCTGGGGCGGTAGGCTGAATTGGGAAGTTGAAAAAACACATTGTAAGAAGACAATGGCAAGCAATTTCTTTATCATTGCCACAAGTATTATACAAACGTATTCATGAAATCCTCAGGAGGTAGTTTCAATTGACCAAGACTTTACCTTATCAAGCAGTTTCCAAGAATTGTGTTGAACATGTTGCTCCCATTGTATATAGATATTTACCAGATTCTTAAAGCGTGTGTGACATTGTGTGCCTTATTGCCTTGTTCTAGGAGGGAAGATCTCATTGAGTAAGTACAAACAGTGGTATTGGACTAAAGTCTCCTTTCATTTCGGTTTCTCAAGGTTTGTGTTTGGGATGCAGAGCTGCGGGAACTCAGAGCTGAAAGCTATATCAAGGAAGGGGAGCCTGGGAAGGCTATCAGTGACTTAAAGGCTGCTGCCAAACTGAAGAGTGATAATACTGAAGCATTCTATAAAATCAGCACTATATACTATGAACTAGGAGACCACGAAATGTCTCTAAGGTAAGTCTAGTGTTATCTGTAAGGGTAGGGGGAAAAAATGTTTAGAATTTTAGAAAATCTGTGCTGGCTGGAAAGATGGCTTGCCAAAATGAAGGGGGAGAAACATGGTTATGGAGTTCTCCCAAGGCTCCAGTTTCCTCTGTTGCAAGTTCTTTTTCCTCGTGGGAGAGAAAAGTTCCAGAATGACCTGGAGGAGGAAGGGGAAGTGTTCAGTGTACGTACCAATGCCTTATGCCTGGTTTAAGAGTATCATTTCTATACTAGAAATCCAAATGAGCTAATCCTTGAGCTAAGAGGCACTGCAAGAAAACAAAGTTGCTATGTTCTGATCATATCTGAATTTATTTTTTTCTTTCCTCTGCATTTTAGAGTATTCCTTTCTCAAGGAAAGCTAGATTTTTTTCTTTTTATTAAATAGTAGCTTACAAGAGAAAAAGAACTAAGTAAAGGGTGTACAATGTTGTGAGGAGTAATACAAAAATAATATAAATAAATAAATAATAAAAGGCTTCATTAACAGTGCAATCTAAAAGTTATTCATAATTTCCATGTATCATAACAGTTAACAGCACCTATTCATATTAATAGCACCTATTTATTTATTAAATAACCTGTTGCTATTAATATAATGAACATAATCTGCCCAAATTGGTAACAGTGTGATTCTTGCCTCAAGGAAAGCTAGATATAAACAAAATAATAGGTCCTCTTTTTTTCAGTAGCCACCCGTAAAAGTTAATGGCTATACTTCAAATCATAACAAATCATAAAGGCATATAGACCTAGATATAAAATTAATATAATTATATGGAAACATAATGTAATTACATTCTTTTGATTTTGTTAGTGCAAGTAAAAATTAATGCTCAGCTCTGAAAAGCTGAATAATTTGAGATTATTGCATCAACTTTTTTTTTTTTAACAATATCACTTGATTTGGTGATTCTTTTCTGTTTATACTAGAGGAAGGGTGTTGTATGTATGTATATGTGTGTGTGTGTGTAAAAAACTAAACTGGGTGCAAGAGGTGACAGCCATGGAAACTGGACATAATAATAACTGATCTCTATGAAAGGGGCCAATAATTTCAGATTTATCATTGATTCCAGGCAATCTACTGTATATACAATTGGCATTTTCTTATTTATATTAAAGAATCAGAAAAATGACTGATTCTTCTGCATAAATGGCCTCACCCTGCAGCTTTTCCAGTCTGTATATTCTGAGATTCCCTTGCTAAACCTTCTAGTGTTGATGGACATATTTCTTGAGTGGGTGAAGTTTTTCTCAGGCGTATTCAAGCAGGAAAACACAGATTCCAGTCCCGATAACTAGTAATCTAGTGTAAGAAATGTACGCAGCAATACCATGTGAAGGGCTTTATGTTTTGTTACTGTTACGTTTCTCCATATTTCCAACCTTTGAGAGATGATTAGTATCCCTATTTCTCAGCAGAGGAAGTGAATCTAAAGGAGTGTGCCTTTTGCAAACAGACTAGGAACAAGAACTGAGCTCACAGTGTTTTAACACTAGCATCTTGATCCCACAACCAAACTGTTTCTCTTCCTTGTTCTTACCTGTGTGCAAAGTGAAGTGCGGGAATGTCTGAAACTGGACCAAGACCATAAGGCGTGCTTTTCTCACTACAAGTGGGTAAAGAAGCTCAATAAGCAGATTGTTTCAGCAGAAGAGCTCATCCAGGAAGGAAGGTAAGGTGTCCGTTGTGTGCTTTTGTTTTCTTGGTTACGTTTCCTCCTCATAGCTCTTTGTGAGGGGAGTAAAACTCAGACCCATAGCCTATCATAGAAGAAATGTAATGATTGGAAAGGCATCCTGGAGATCATCTACTCCAACCTTGCCAGTGCGGGAATCTACTACTGCCACATCCCCAACAGATGGCCATCCAGCCCCTGGTTAAACAGAGTAGGATGAAAGAGAGTCCATCACCAGCCAAAGCACTTGGTTCCCCTGTTGAACAGTTCCTGATGTTTTTTTTCTGATGTCCGACCATAATTTACTTGCTTATAATTAAAGCCCCTTGGTCCTTGTCCTGTCTTGGAACAACACTGAACAATTCTGCCCTGACTTTTATGTGACAGCCCTTCAAATACTTGAAGAATGCACTCATGTTCCTGCAAAGTCTTCTCTTCCCCAGGCTATACCTAGCCAATGTCTCAACTGTTCCCTACATATTTTTCCTTCTAGGTCTCTTTGTTTTGCTCTCGTTGGGACATATTTGTCAGTGCCCTTCCTAAAATCTGATGGCCAGAACTGGTGTAATCTGACCAATGCAGAATAGAAAAGAATGATGATTTATCTTCATCTTAACACTATACTCCTGCTGATGCAGGCTAGGGCTTCATTGAGGTTTTCTGTAGCTGCATCACACTGTTCTGCTTATGATCCTCCTAGAACCTTTTCACATGTGCTGCCACCCAATATGGTCTTCTCCATCCTAAACTCATGCCTTTGATTTTTCTTACTTGAATGAAGTATGTTGTAGTCCACATATCCTAAACCTGCCTTTGTTGAGAAATACTGTCAGCCTTGCGAGGTAGTCCAGACAAGAAGCACACCCAGATGAACTAATTCTGCTTCATTGTAAAGTTACATTAACAGAATCTTGCAAGACTGAAAGTATTTCTCCCCTCCTCTCCTTTTAGTCTCTGGAAATCTAGGGTGGATCCCTTCTGAAATGCTTCCCATGCTTTTCCCCCACCTGCAGACTGAGCTGCCTCTTATCGGACAGTTGCCTAGGCCAGGGTTTTTGTCCTGTCTCCCAAGGTCATTCCCACATACCATTACAAACACTGCTCTAGAGAGGTGGATATCAGAACTCCTAATCCTAAATAGCTACTGTTAGTCCATCCTCATGGCAAGGGATTCCTTAAGGAGGTCTTCCTGTTAACACCATCCATGATTCACTGGTGGAATCCATCATGGGACCTCCAGTAGTATTCTGAGCCCTAGCTCAGTCATAGAACATTTAACATGGAAAGTGCCATTCCTAATAACTGGGAAAGTGTCAGAAATAGATGTAGTTTTGCCAAGAAGGAGTCCTGTAACATCTAGCCAGATGCCATCACTCTGTGCCCAGATCTGACTTTTAAGCCTTAAGTTAATGTGGTCTTCCATCAGGGAAGTAATCCTCCCTTTCTTCTGCCCAAATCCAAGACCCTGTTAGAAGAGGATTTGCACAAACAAGACCTCAGATGACCAAGATCTACCGAGAACAGTTTTTTCAGTAGCCTCACCTGTACCACGGAGCACCACCAATCATGGTATCTCAGTATTTAAAAGCCTGCATTAGCCTGGGAGACCAGTACAAGCCTGACCCACTGAAGTGTGGTCATTTCAGCTGCTTCTGACAGGGCCAATGGGCTCTCAGTGTCCTCAATTATTAAACACTATAAACTTTTATGCCTCAGCCAAAGCAACCTTCAGCAGGAGAATGCTGCAGGAAATAGTTCTTAACAAGGACCAAGAACCATCCAAATATAAGATTCTACCCTTCGGGACAGCTCTGCTATCACACTCAGGAGACAAACATGGGGGAAACATAGTGTGGTTCATATTGATACCAGAGATCAATTGTTCTTAACTTTTTTTATATCCCTTCTTTTCTTTGAGTTCCCTGGCTGGCATTCCAAAACTGGAGATGCAGCACCAAGAGTTTTCAGTGAGTTGGTAAAATATACCAATATACTATACTCAGTTTCCATGGTGGGGTCCATGTCTTTATTTCAGTCTAAAATAGAGCACTGGAGTATTTATCTTGCATTCTTTAAAATACAGAACAATATAAATTGTTTTTCTTAATTTAATAAATAAAAGTCTACTGTTGGCTGATTTTCTTTCTTGATGTAAATAGGTACCAGGAAGCCACTGAGAAGTATGAGGCGGTTATAAAGATGGAGACAAATGTTCCTGTTTACACCACACGAGCCAAAGAGAGAATCTGCCATTGCCTTTCAAAGGTAAACACTTCAATTCAGTTGGCAGAAAACAACTGGGAACATAATGACCTTGCTGGTCCATCTTACTGACCTTATTGGTCCATCTCACTTTTCTCAGAATCAACAGTCAACAGAAGCCATTAAACTTTGCACTGAAGTTCTGCAGCTAGAGCCAGAAAATGTGAATGCCCTCAAAGATCGGGCTGAAGTATATTTGCTAGAAGAAATGTATGAAGAAGGTACAGTTTGAAGGATAAAAAGTACATTCATTGGGGTGTCCAGCTTTCCTGGGAACTTACCAGTATGGTGTAACCTGCATTATTTGTTGACATTATACAGAGTGAATTAGACTGGGAACTAGGGAAGTGCAAAATCTTCCATTCTGGGGAAAGTTCTAGTGTCCCATTTTTCTTCAAGATCATGTTGTTCCAGCTGTTCAGGGGATGGCATTATAGTTTTCTGGAGGCAAATCTTATGGTACAGGAAGTGGTTTGGGGTACTCTGGATGTGATTCAAAAGGAGCCAATTAATGAGTAGGCATGAATGAAATATTGGGATGATATCTGAAAGTGCAACTGTTCCCTGGATTCCCTGGATTTGGGAATCATCTTTATGCAAACTGTGTGGACTTATCTGGGAGTATCCTATGAAATTCAGTGGGACTTTCAGCTATATGCAAGCAAATTCAGCAGTGTGTTACATGAAACTTAAGCTTGTGTCCAATTAATTGCTTTAATTGGCTTTGCTTCTTACTGCCAAAAATGTTTTCCAGGATGGAATTTGTCTCTCTCTCTCTCTGTCAGAGAAGAAAGTTTTCCATCCTGCCTTAAAGTGAATATGGACTTGAAGTTCTCAGGTGGAAGATACATACTGTATATCATGGAAAGACAGAGTAATGAGTCTAGATATAGAATGCTCAGCATGGCTCCTTGGTGCCTACTGGGGCCCCTGTTTTACTTTATTTTTAGGGTTTTTAAAAGATGGTTAATTTTAAACAAAATTGAACAAAGGAAGCTGGCATGCTTGAAGCAAATCACCAACCTTTGGAATTATCTTTAGTTCCAAAGCTCTTGATTTGAGATACCCTCATATTTTCATTTATTGTATTTGGGCAAGGTTACCCTTTTTTAGTTTATAAAAGAATTGGGGCTTTGTTTTTGAATGTGAGAAGGATGGTTGAATCATCTTAGATTGAGACTTTTTGCAAATATTTCAGCAACCATATATAAAGTTTGTAAGATGGGCATTAAGAGCCATCTCTTGCTGGCTTTCTAAGTGAATGACATTCACTTTTAATGTTCTGGCTGCTGTCAGTCAAAATACTTTAGTGGCACAACACAGTAGGCTGGCTAGTGAAAATGAAAGGGAAGGAAGATTTCTGCTTTGTTTGCAGATGGATGTTTTAAATCACTGGGGCATCAGAAATACTTTCACAATGTTCTGTAAAAAGGGATTGGATACAACCACTGAGTAAATGGTATAAATTGGACCCTATCTCCTGCCAGCATGCCTAGAAACAACAAAAGATAAATGTAATGCCTACTGAGAGAGAACAGCTGCTAGAAGATGATCTGATGCAGATTCTTTATCTTAGCAAAGTTAGATATCTTTAGATCCATAATGAGATGTTCCAAAATTAGAAACTGAAACCCCAAAAAAAGACTCATTACATAGGAAATGCAAAGCAGACTGTAGTGAAGGATGCTAAAATGGAAATGGAAATATTTCATTTACTAGTGTGTGACAGTCATACAGTTACAGAAACATTCTTTGTTTTCCTTTATCAAATTTCAAATCAAATACCATTTGAAATCTGACCATGCTGGAAATGAATTACTGTATTACAAGTCTCCAAATAAACTCTGTGTGTTGTCTTTATGATAGCTATCCAGGACTATGAAACTGCTAAAAAATACAGTGATAATGACCAACAGATTCTGGAAAGCCTTGAGAAAGCCCAGCGGATGCTCAAGCAATCTCAAAAGAAGGACTACTATAAAATTTTAGGAGTTAAAAGGTAAGCATTTAGCAATTGACAAGCACCTATTTGCTTAGATGTTGCTTTTTCTTCAAGATGCTATACAGGTAGTCCTTGATTTACGATGGCAATTGGGACTGGAATTGCTGTCGCTAAGCGACATGTTCATAAAGTGCAACATCATGTGACCATGCCACTTAGCGAAGGCAGTTGTGGCAGTCCCAGTTGTGGTCGTTAAGCAAGGATCACATAGATTGTTAAGTGAGGACCTCACATGACTGTGACTTCCAACTTCCTGCCAGCTTCCCCACTGACTTTGCTTGTGGGAAGCCAGCAGGGAATGTCATAAATCGTGATCACG